CCGCGAACGCGCCGCGACCAATGAGAAACAAAGGCAAGCACCAGCAGCCAATCCCAGCGCCAGCTTCTGCCCCGCCCCCGAGCTGGGCCGCCCTGCACATTCCACAATGGCCCCGTGCGCCGCCGCTTGCGCGGGAGCCGATAATTAATTATTCATAACCTCATGAATTATTCAGCAGCCGCGGGCCTCGCCCTTTGGAGGTGGCGGTGGCTGCAAATGCGGCGCGTCCGAGGGCTTGAAGTGACCGGGGACTCCTTGACACGGCGACCTCGGAGCCTGCGAAACGCCCAGAGCCGCCGAACGGGGGCACACTACCTTACCCACAGCAAAAATAAAATAAAATTGTATATATATGTGTATGTATGTATACCTAGCAATGTTTCTCGTTTAAAGGATGTCTGGAAGGCACAGCAGAAAATGGAGTGCCTTGGATTCTTTAGATTGCAGGAAGGCATCTGGCCAAAGTAAATCGGGAAGCCCTAGGGCGGCAATGGAAGTTCAGTGCTGAAACTGGAGGTTTTGGGAAAGGGGTTGCGCTGAAGCAGGGCAGGGTAGTGAGCACTCAGCAAGGAAGAGCAAATACACAGCATGATATCGACATGTGTGTGCTTTACATTTTAGTTTGAACGGCTGCTAAGTCCAGCAAAAATGCAGGATGAAACTTACCGATATTCACCACGGCTGAGCTGTGTAAAACATCATGCATGCAAGCAATCTTAGATGTCTGAGTTTTATAAAAACAGCCAGCAGGGCAAACACTGCCGGAGACTCAACACTGTGTTTTCCCTGGGAACGGGTGACTACACAGACAAAACATCCCTGCCCAGCCTTAACAGCACTAATAATTTGAGCGAGTGCTATAAAATTCCCAGCCATTCAGGCTCAATTGTCAAAAAAGTGCCAATTAGAGTAGTGATTTCTGCAACATCATGTTTTTATTGTAACCATCAGTGGCAGTCCTCTATTACTAGAAAGCAACTGGTTGATAACTTCAGTGCACAAGCCCACCTTGGTAGGAAACTAATCTTGTCCTTGTTGCAGGACCTTGAAGCCAAATCAAGCTTCCTCCAGTGCTTCAACTCCATGGGATGAAGAGCGGAGCAGATAATCGTTTCCTCCCTCTCTTCCTGAGTCCAGATAAGACTGGGCACAGCGCAGGAAAACAAGGCCTAAATCAGCTTCTGCCACCTTTGGATGCTAGTCCAAGCCCTGGAAAGCAACTGTGGGCTTTCCCCCAGCTCCCATGCAGGTCTGCTTGTGCGTGCAGGGTCATCTTACCTGGCCTGGCTGCTATAGAACAGAAATAACTGAAAATTCTGTGCATCTCACATAGCTTCTTCCTTGCTCAAGACAGTGTGAGAAGTTTTGCATCAATGAAAATAGTGACAGCAGCAAAGTAAGGGCTAGTAACTGCTCAAAGACAGCTTTGTGGAATCCTGGTACCCAAGTCTGACCTCTTAGACTCTGGGATTCTGGGAAAAGTATAACACACGAACGAAAAATAACTGCATCTTTTCCAGGGCTTACTTTAACATGGGTTTCAAATTCAAAGCTCATTAAAAGCCACAAATTGGCAGATATGCTAAAAGTGAACTTGTAATCTTTTTATTTGCACTTTTCCCTTATGTTTAACATTAGTCTGTGCATCTAAAGTTACAGAAACAATGCACAAAACAGTAAAGAAATAGTTAAACAAAGAATGCACGACTCTCACCTAGCCTCTGGCACGGAATAGAGCATTTTAGCCTGAATGTGCACTCTGAGTAACCCGCAGCGACCGGTCTGCAGACCTCCTGGATCACTGGGAGCCTGGATGCCACACCGCAGCGCTCAGCGCTCACCCCTCTGATTTTGGTGACGACATCGGCCGCCTGCCAACATCCCTCCTCCATCCCGGTTCTCTCCGTAAGCAGATTTTTTGACACGCACAGAACAGCAGCCCCACAAGCAGGAGAGACCTGGCTCCCTAAGCAGGTACAGATTTGGCATATGGCGCTTCCACCAAATGACCCTTTGCCTTACTTATTTTTTAAAGTTCAAAGGTGCCTAATTACAGGAGGCACCAAATGGAGGCTGACGTTGCTCTGACCTTTGCAGCGAGGCATCAATCCCCAGTGAGGGCTGTCCTGCCCGTCACCTTTCCGGGGCCGCTCTCCCATGCGGTGCGAGCTGCCCCTGCCCTGCACTGAGGCTTCCCAAACTCACCCCAGGGCTCACGGTGCCACTTTGGGGCCGGCACCGGGGCATGTAGAGAGCAAAACGTTGTGTCATTGAGTGGCATCGAGCTATTTCACAGCTTCCCGAGCAACGCACTTCTACTGGACTCCACGAGGGATATGAAATTCCAGCCACACTGTGAGGAGGGGCACTGCGGAAGAAGCACCTGTTTACAGTGAAGATGGATCCGGTTCTGCCTTCACCAGAAGGACAGCAGCTCATCATCATCATCATCGTCATCATCATCATCGTCATCATCATGGGCCTCATTCTGCTCCCTCCCCTTTGGAGCATTTTGGAGCTGGCCTTAAGTGAACTGATAACATAGCCAACTACGTTGTCTTAAAAGCACAGCTGATCTGATGTAAAACAGAATGTGGAAATCTACCTTTGGCCTAGCCATCACCGTCTAAAACCTTTCGTGTTGGAAAGAGGTAATATCACTAGAAATATCTGAAGCAAGCACAAAAGAGACAAAGTACCTTCTTTTCATTTGTTACACCTACCTGTTCTGCTTCACTTGAATTCATATATATTTTTTGTCTGTTAATGATCTAATGTCCTATTTTTTATTCTAAAAGAGGTTATCTTTCTTAAAGACCCAAATTATAATGCTCTTTTTGAGTCTAATTAGCCAGATAGATGGCAAGTGCTTTTCCTTGTTTCCTTTTTACTTCTTGCTCCATGTCCTTTCACTGTGTCCCGGACTACACTTCATGGGCACTAAGGGGCACACTTTGTAGAAACGCCACATGGGGTTTCTTCTGATGGCAGTCTGTACATTACTGCTTCTCTCCTCGTGCAGAAAAATCTGTCCTGTGTCTAGACAGATAGACCCTAAAATATTAATGCTTTTATACACATATATCATCAAAATTATATCTAAAAATATCACATATACACAATAATAATAAAACTATTACAATAAAAATAACAATATACAATAAAAATATAAATATTACACATACATATATACAATATTATATATACTACAGCTCAGATAATTATCTGAAAATCTCTTTTTACCTAAAGTTGAATGCTTTATTAAAGCCCTGTATATTACAGCTGTATGATTCAGAAGCAGGGCAGTTTAAGCTCCTTGTGTCATGCACACTCTGGGTGCACTTTCTGTTTTTCTCTCGATTTACTACTGACAGTAGGATTTGGAAGAGGCCACTTCTCTCACTTGGGTAACTGCTACAATTTCCATGAAACACCGTTGCTCAAAGTAGTTACAGTATCAAAAGTGGTTTCAAATCTGCCTTCTCATCAGTCTGTATTTATTCTCATGTATTTAATTAGATATTTAAGCATTAATTAGACATTTAAGCAAAGACAGCCATGTAAAAAGTTAATCTGCAGCCTGGCCCTTAAATGTCAGTACAAAAATTAACATCTACATTGGGCAATGAAAAAACAACTCTGGAGCTATTTAGTAACTGTCTTTACTGCCTTACATTAATTGACACTGTATAGTATTGTGTGTATTGAACTCTAATGTTAATTCCATCAGTAACTGGAGTTTCTAAGCAAGCACATGCTACTCCATGTCCTTAGAGAAGGGCTTTCTTGCTTCTGTTAGCAGGTTCAATTATTTTCATAAAATCAGCCTTTCCTTTTTTTTTTTTTCCCCCTCCAAAATAAATTTTACAATACCTTTCTGTCCTAACACTGCACTGCAATCTTATTTTCTTGCAGGAAGTTTCTTCTATGAGTTATTTTTAGACCCGAAATGTTTAAGTGTGACAGAGCCAAGTGTATGGAGACCTGTGTAGTCATCCTGGTAATGAAAGTTATAGACTGTATTGTTTGGGTTTTCTTTTTTTGTACTTGTTAAGTGTTTGTCATAACTGTAGAAGGATTGCGACAATATTTTCAGAATAGTTTCAATAACTGTTTTCAACATTTTCAGAAGTTACTGCGGATTACTGTGACTATGAACAAGAATTTATCTAAGCAGAGAGTAAATTAATAGGGCTTTCTATATATTTGTTTGTTTTTAGAAAAGGTGTGTCAACCTGAACACTAACTGATAATGAAAAGCTATCTATCTCTGGATATTGCAGTATTGCAGTGTGGTGCTGGTCTCTGCATTTTCAGAGACCTGATTTCTCTGGAGGAGGTTTAGTTCATTGTCTCGAACACGGTGAATCTCTGGCATTTTCTTGTTCCTGAGAGCAGTGTGGTTGGCAGCACCCTCACAGGGCACACACACAGCAGAGAACAGCATACAAACTGCAGAGAAAAGAGTGAGCACAAAAAGAGACTATCACTAGTTTCACTTGGCTTCCTCACGCCTTTGGTAGGAGAGTTGGAATTAAGGTATTAATGTAAGCACTGTGAGTTTCTCATTTCATAATTTGCAGCTACTCAAGTATAACGCACTGTGATGCTAGGATGGTGAAGCAAAAAGTAGGATGTAATCTTACTGTTACTAGTAATTTCTAGTAACTTGCATGTTAAAAGGCCTGGAGCAAACACCAAAAAAAAAAAAAAAAAAAAAAAAAAGCTCTCCTGCATCATATTAATGAGGTCTACTACTTAGCAAAGTGCTTAAGCATAGCACAAGATAAAGGCAGCACAGCTGTATCTGATAAAGCCAACATACGCATTTATTTCAAGTAGTAAGATTGTGAAAGGATTTAGTAAATGAGTCACTTGCTTGAAATTTAAAAGCCAAATACATGACTGATGTTTCATGTTTTCACCAGATAAAGGTAAGTTGGCGCATTCCACTGTATGACCATGTTATTCCTCCTTATGACCAAATCTTTCAATATTTGGCCACATCTCTCCTACACATGTGTATCAAGCAAAAGGTGTTAGCACATCCCATTATCCTGTGCTTGTAGGAGTCTTGTCGGGACCTGCTGGCTCCGCTCCTGGCTGTGCAGCTTGTGCGATCGGAGAGCAGGCTGGGCTGCAGCTTCAGAGGATGTGAACTACAAATTTAGATCCACACGCACCGTGTTAGTTACTACAGTACAGACAGCTCAAGAACTGTATTAAACTGAAATTGCAAAACAAAAAACAGCACTGTGGTATTCCAACCATTAACTTTAAGAATCTTAGGACTGAACGTAGTAGGTAGTGGGTAATCTCAAAACCCATCTTTATTCACGTAGTTTCATGGAATTTTATGAAGCAAAGGGATGCCGGGGCTAAGTGCACACAGGCATAGGGCACCCTGCTCCCACTGCCTGTGCGGACGTTGGGAATCGCCCCTGAACAACCAACGGTAACAGGCTACTACAGATCCAGCTGTGCCGCGGACGTTGCCGCAGGCTGAAAGCCCGCAGGAGAGCCGCGCAAGGGCCTCCTCCGGGCCAAGCACGAGGCAGCTGGTGGGCAGTGCCGGGCTCAGCAGGTCAACGGAGGGGGCAGACAGGACCGCTCAGCTGCTCACACGCCTACGCGCTCGCAACCCTCGCCCCGCGCACCCGGCCAGACCGGCCCCCCGCCAACCCGCCCCCGCCGCCCCTTTAAACGCGGCGCGTCACGTGCCGCGCGAGGCGCGCAGCGATTGGCCCGCGGGGCGAAACAACAACAGCGCGCGCCAACCTCGGGAGG